TGCTTTTCATGAGTTGGGTTCTGACCGAGTGACCCCACTATGCTGCATTCGTCATTCAGGGTCTGAATCAAGTAAAAGGCCCTTTTACGACCACCGGCCTAATTTCGAAGTTCTCTGAGAAAAACCTTCATCTGTCTATTATGTTTATTCCTCTTCTTGCTCTTTCATAAGCAAATACAATATGAGGCACAGACTCAATTAATTCTTCTCTTGTGAACCAGCGATCTTCACTTGGATCCTGATATGCAAATCTTACTTTATATTGTCGAGGGGGTCTGCATCTACGTCCAGTTTGAAGAGTGCTTTCAACAACAATCTTGTCCACATCATATTTCCCATCCATACTAGGAGGTATCGCTGATCTGCGACTGGGAAATAACTCATTCGTCATGCAAGGTAAGAGTTTTGAAGCGTGAAAAACTCGATATGTATGCAAATGCAGAGGAATTTCAATCACATAAGAAGGTCCATCCACATCTCCAATCACATCTAGAACTTGCCAAGGTCCTCTGTAGGCTGGTAGCAGTTTCTAGGATATGTTCTCCTCAGGAACGAGTTCCTTAGATTTAACCCATACCAGATCACCTACAGCAAACTGAGAAGATATCCTGTGCTAGTTCGCCTGTTTTATCATCTGATGTTGTGCCTTCATTATATTTTCCTTCACTTTCTCAATGTCTTTCTGATATTGTACTGCAAATTCACTCGTTCCTAGTGGAAGCTTATGTACTTGATCCGGGTTCATACAATCGATAGGTCTGTGTCGACGCCATCCCAAATGCAACTCCATTGGAGTCTTGCACGTAGATAGGTGAACAAAGTTATTATAAGCACTAGCAACTTTGGGCAAATGCACATCCCAATCAATCTGGTCAGGACGTATGTACATGCGCAATGTTTGCTGCAAAATCTTGTTCATTTGCTCAGTTTGACCGTTTGTTTCAGGGTGTCTGCCTGATGACATAGTCAACTCAGAGCCATAGACGTTCATCAGTTGCTGCCATTGTTCACTCGTGAACCGTGAATCTCTGTCACTTACAATCGTTAAGGGATGACGATAATCCTTCACCCAATGGTTAAAGAATTCCCGAACTACCAATTTTGTCTTTGCTTCCGCTAGTAATGCTACGAATACAACATACTTACTAAACCTGTCAACGATGACCATGACTTGCGTCTTTCCATTCATGCTTTTTACCTTAGCGTCCATAAAGTCAATGGGCACAGAGTCTCCTGGACCGGTTGGAATTGGCAAAGGCTTCAACAGACCGAGGGGAGGCTGAGTGGTGCTCTTATTTCTTTGGCACACTTAACAGCCCTGCACATATGCAATGCAATCGGGTTTCATGCGAGGCCAGGTGTAGGAGCGTAACAGGCTTGCATAAGTCTTTTTCCACCCGAAATGGCCTTCAGTGTCATGGCACTCCCCCAAGATCAGACCAAAGCCTATCATGCACATCCGTTCTTTCAAATAAAAGTCCTTGGGTAATACGATAGTCAGGAAACTCTTGAGACGCTTCTTGTATACGCTTAATCATAGCGCCATAAACAGGATCTGTGGAATACGCACTTTTAATCTTCTCTTGTAAATCGGTGCCCACATCTAGATATGTTACAATAGCACCGAAGAAGTCAGATCTTCGACTTAAAGCATCAGTAACAACATTATATTTCCCCTTTACTGGCTTTAGCTCAAAATCATACTGATCAATTTCAGCAGCCCACCTAGCCAACTTAGGTGTCATCCAGGCCTGCGTTTTAAGCCTGCGAAGTGTCTCATGACCTGAGTACACTTTAAAGTGGCGTCCTTCTCGGAGAGCAAACAACTCTCTCTCATACGTAGAAGCGGCGCTAATGATCCAGAGCTTCTCGGAGAGCAAACAACTCTCTCTCATACGTAGAAGCGGCGACCTTCTCATTAGGCAGTCATCGGGACATAAACTCCACAGGCCTGTATCCATTCCCATCATTTTGTTGGAGTACAGCACCTATCCCG